TTTTTTTTTTTTTTATTTCCACGAATTTTTTTTAAATGAATCAATCGTCGAATAATATCCGTAAAATTTATAAAAATATTAATTATCACTTATTTTAAACCGAAAATTAACAACAACAACAACAACAACTAAAGAATATGCGGTATTTAAATAAGATAAAAATATTGAGATAAACTGAGGAACGGTACACGACCCCACTCGATCGGTAGAATCAAGCGTAGTGGCAAAGCATGTTAGGAATGCCAACTATGGCAAGATTGCGCCTCACATTGCAAACAACATTTTCTTATTTTTAACGTATTATTTAATTAAAAAACATTATTTAATTTATAAAAAATGATTATTCACTTACCAAAGACAAAATAAATCCTCTTTTGAGGTGATTTTTTCTAATTTAATAACAAATTCAGATAATAAATACAACTTGTACAACTGTTATTGGTATGTATGGAATGGCACAAAGAATCTAGACAACGCAAAGACGCGGCGCGCATCTCTTTCGCGCACATGGTCACACAACCCGCCGCCAGTACACTCTCTTCCATAATATTTCCCCACTATATAACAAAAAATTACGTCACAAACCGGTTTTTCTTTTTTCAAACAGTTGATTTTTGACTTTCGTAATTATTATTATTATTATTTGTTTTTATACATATATACATATATATTTTTAAAAGACTTTTTCATATTGCATTTGTTTATAATAAAAATAAAACAATTTAAATACAATTTGTAAATTTATATTTAAAAAAATTTTTTTTTTTTGGACTTCAAACGATTTTCAATGAATTATTTATGTATATATATGATTATTATTCGATTGACTTTTTCTTTTACATTATTTACAAAAAAAATGTCATCATTAAAAACAATCAATCAATAACAAAAAGAAAAAAGAAAAACTTTCATAAATATAAAATTATTAATAACAAATGAATGTATATACTAGCGACATCTATAGATTTTTTTTCGAAAACTTTTTACCATCTTTGAAAAATTTCCGTTATCGTCGACATTTTTCTTTTGTTTTTTTTTCGTTTAAAATGGTAAAATAATTTGAAAAAAATGTAGGGAAATTATTAAAAATTGCAAAAACTTTTTTTTTTGTTAAATTAAAAACGGTAATAATGATTTATATATATATGTATGTATGAAAAGAAAGTGGCGCTGGCATCACGACACACACGCACATACACTGAAAACGAAAATAAAAATGGCTTCCTTACAAGGTGCCAACATAATTTTTTTTTTTTTTTTGGCTTAAATTTTTGAATTTAAATAAACGTTATACTTTTAAACTTGTTTTATTTTTTATTTTTCTTCCTAAATTAAATTTTAAAGATTTAAAAACATTTGAATAATTTAAATTTAATCCTTTAAAAAAAAAAAAAAGAAAAGAAAGAGTAAATAAAGATAAACCTATGAAATTAAATAATAAAAATAATAATCATAACAATAATCATAAATTTTTAACGGTTTTTTTTAAACTGTAAAAAGATGTTAGAAACGAAAAGGTATTGAAAAAAGCATTAAATTAAGGTATTAAAAAAAGTAATAATTTATTAAATAGTGATAAAGATAAAGATTTTAAAAAAAAACTTACCTTTAAACACATCATCACAAATGAATATATTGAATACAGTTGAAAATCCATTCTCCATTTTTTTTTTTTTTTGTTTATTAATATTTATTCCGTGAACTTTGGCACCAAAAGACCCACGATTTTTCATTTTCTATCTGTGAATTCTTCCAGTGCCAAGTTTCACAAAAAAAAAAATATCCATTTAAATATCCAACAACGTGACAAATAATATGTACGATTCAATCAATCATTTAATGAAACTAGTCGTCCGAAATATATAAAAATTCATTTAACTTCCTGTTTTTCAAAAAAAAAAAAGAAAAAAACCAACGCCCGACATAATAATCAAAAATTAATTATTACCACCCATTATTTTACTACAAAAAAAAAAGTACAATTATTTATATATAAACAAAATATTTAAATAGAATAAATAAAACAAATCATCATCATTTTAAATAACAAAAATAAAATTTTTATGTATCAAATTAATAATTGAAAAATTTAAATAATCGAAAGATTTATGTCTGTGACACACATTTTAAATATTTATAAACAATTTGATTGTTTAAAAAAAATTTTTAACCATAAATTTAAAACAAAATAATATAAATTACATAAAGATATAAATAAATAAATAATTAATAAGTTTATGTTTTATTAACTTTACAATGTTTTCCTCTTTTCAAAATCCTACATTTACATAAAAACAAACAAAAAATTATTTAAATAATAATAATAATAATAATAAAAATTAATAAAACGTTTAAAATAAAGCGAAAAAAAAATTTTATTTAAAAATTATTATTATTTATAATACATTTTATCACTTTTTTTTTATTTAAACAAACAAAACAATCGCCATTTTACACTTTTTTTTTAAATTATAGTAATTTTCTTTTGTTTATTTTTTAAATTAATTAATGTGCTTATTTGTGCATTTTAATAATAATAATAATAATAAAAATTTTGAATAAAAACTTTTTATTTGCAAAAAAAAGAAAAAAAAAAGGTATTTTGGTCCCCGACGAAAACTTATAATAAACAAACAAAAAACTAATTAATTTCTTTTCTTTTTAATAATAATAATAATTATTATTATTATTTACAATCAACAGTTTTTATTTATTTATTTATTTATTTATAAATATAATTTTTAATTGATGAAATTGACTCCTTTTTATGTAACTATTGAATAAATAATATATACATATAAATACATAATTACGTATTTATTTTTTATTAAACTTAATAATTTCAAATAATAAAAATAATAATTCAAGCGTGCTTATTATCATTATCATTATTATGCATTTGTTATAACATATTGTGCGATTGTGTTCATCATTATTATTAATTTAAATAAATAAATAAATAAAAAAAAAACAAAACATTTGGCAAAAAATTTTTTAATTTTTTCAATTTTTTTAATCAATAATTTTAATAAAATAATAATAATAATAATAATAACGATTTATTGACACACGATTTAAAAACAAATAAAATAAATAAATAAATAAATTGTTTCTAATGGTCCCTTTGAAACAATTTCATTTATTTATACCAATTTGTAACGACAAAATTTTGTCAAACCGAAAAAAAACGAAAAAAAAGGTATTTATTATTATTATTATTATTTGTTTAAAAAAAAAAATAATAAGGTACGATTCTAATAATCTGTTTGTTAATCTACTTTAAATATCGTCACGTCGTTTGTTTTATTTCGTTCCGAACCTTTTGAAACCGTTACCTGTTCCGTTGGAAAATCTAATATGACCGTCGTGTGAAAACCCATGTTGAAAAATGCAATTAAATATTCGCAAACGGAAAACCAACTGAAAGCTAGAAAAAAAAACAAAACAAAAAAATTTTCATTTTTCATTTCAATATGTCTGATCCAATCATTATTATCATTTTATATGTGAAAAAAACCAATCGCACGCGCACAACCCAATCAACGATAATAATTTCTTTTTTTTTAATGAAAACAAAATACACAACTTGTGTTATAGAAATGTTTGTTATTGACTAACCCATGTCGTGGCACAAGAAACGATGTTTCACGAAAAATATAAACAATCCGAACGATGTGAGAATGCTCGCGGTGAAAAATAATTTTTTCAATTTGTACGAATAATTTTCCTCGTTTGTTTTTCTCACGTGAACGACGTTGAATATTTTCAGTGATGCCAACATGTACGAGAGAGAAGAAAACATAAACGTTATGAATATCTTTTCGTGTATGGCTGAAACGAAAACAAAAACATAAACATAAACAAACTCATGATTTTAATATTAATAATAATAATAATAATAATTTTCATTAGAGTCATTCGTTAATCGCCACTTACATTTACTTTACGTTAAACGTTATACTTATTAACACAAAGTGTATTTTTTTCGGGGGGGGGGGAGAAGGAGGAGAGGGGGAGGGGGAGAAAGGGGGTTCGAACAACGTTAATAAACCTCCCTTTTTCGTTTCGTTTTGTTTTATTTCATATAATATATATTATTTTTGGAAATGAATAAGAAAAAAAAAAAAAGAGGGCAAGGGGATAAATCAATGATAGATTAATGAACTCGCACGCAATTTTATCATTATTCTACCGGCGATAGTACGATAAAACTTTTGGGAAAAATTTAAAGATATAAAAATCATTATTTAAAAGGGGAAAATTACTTTTTTTTTTTTTTCATTTTCCGTTATAAATACACGTGCGCACGTGTGCGTGTGTGCGTATTAAAAAAAAAAAAAAAAAAAAAAACTTAAAATGTTTTTGATGGTTACATTTGATGCTGTTCTGTTTGAGTTTTCAACCGATTTTTCTCAGGAAAATATAATAATAAATTATTATTATTATTATTATTATTATTTTTCATAATCATTTTCCTCGGACGAGTAGGGAGAAAAAGAGAGAGAGAGAGAGGGAAAAAAAAAGGTCGTGAGGTAAAATAGAGAAAAGTTCAGTGTTAAAATGTCAGGCGAATCCCCATTTTCGAGGGCGAAAAATTGAAGGAAAAGAAAAAAAAAGGAGGGAAGGTGGGGGAAACGGGGGGGAGGGGAGGGAGAAAAAAAATAATAATAATAAAAGGAGGGATCGGCTGCGGAAGTCTATAAAAGGCCACGGGGGTAGTTTTAACCTCGTCGCTAGGAGATTCAACTTACAAATAACAACACTAAACTAGAGCAAACTCATTATTTAACATTTGGTTCAACACGTCAACCGCAAAACCTTGTATTTATTTTTTAATTCGGTACAACGTACACACGCACGCACACCCACGCACACGCACCCGCAACACGCAACCTAACAAGAAAAATTTTAAAATTTAATAATAATTAATATAAACGATATAAGCGAATTTTCCCTGTTCACCAAACCCATCAACTTGATCCTTTTTCCCCCCCCCCCCCAAAAAGTTAAACAAAAAAAAATTGTTTTTAAATAGAAAGAGAAAGAGAGAGAGAGAGAGAGAGAAAACTTTTTGCATAAAATTTACAACAAAAAAGTTTTTCTCCAAAAGTTTTTCTTTTCCTTTTTTTTTTTTTTTGTTTACATTTTAACTAAATAATTTATATTGTTACGAAACGACCCACAGCAAAAAGATATTTTTAAATTTCTATCATATCACGCCAAATCAATAATAATAATAATAATAATAATAAAATTTTCTTTTTTTCCTCACAAAAACGAAATCAAACACTCTTTTCAGGTATTAATAATAATAATAATAATAAAAAATGTGACGATTTGCAAAAAAAACAAAACATTTCACAACGATGAACTTAATGCAGTTATCAATTAACAATAACTTTTTTTTTATACTTTCATTGTTTTCATTATTATTATTATTATTATTATTATTAATAATAAGAAAAAAAAGGAAAAGGAAAAGATGGAAAAAAAGAAAAATAAATAAATAAATTTACTTACGATAATTTTCACGATTGCTTATGTATGTGACTCCGCATAGTGTTACGATTTCGGTTATGCTTAACCAAAAGCAAAAATTCAACAACCAATTTTTCCCGTTTAAATTTTCCTTCTCAAGTAATTTCGAATAGTATTGTTTGTAAACTATCGCTATAACGAGCCTTGGACCCACGTGAAAAGCCACGCATATTCTCCATAGGTATTTTTGAGGAGATATTCCCGTGATGGCCGATATTGATGGCACGACGTTGTAAACCTACATTTTGTAATATAACAAACAAAAAAAGAAAGTAATATTAATAATACTAATAATAATACTAATAATAATAATAATAATAATAATAATAATAATAATAATAATAGTTTTTCTTTTGTTTTTTTTTTTTTTTTATTATTTATTGAAGTTTAAATAATAATAATAAAAAAACATTTACGAGGACAAAAATTGTAAAAGAAAAATTTTTTTATTTTTTGTTTTTTTCGTGTATCGAAGTTGGAAAAAAAAATTTTCTTTTTATTTATGAACGTGGCACTAGACTAAATTAATCGCAGTATTTTTAAAATTCGTTTTTTGTAAATA